AATCTTTTCAACATAAAAAGCTGTGACCTCTACTAGCCATATACTGCTACACTACACTAGGAATGCAAAGGCCAAAAAAGAAAAAAGAAAAAGAAAACACTGGTTTCTTACTGGCATCCTATTATGCCTGAAAACAAACAAACTGGAAATCCTAAAGAAAAAAATTAAGTATCTTCCAAAGTTTTCTTTCCAAATAGATGTTACAAATTAAGCTACGAATTACTTAAGATCTGAAATTCAAAGGTAACACTGTAATATTAACATTGCTACTCCATTCAATTAGGATACTATATACACAATCCTATAATTTTTCTGGGGAAAAAAGCTGCATATTTTACAAGAAACAAAGTATCTTGACATATTTAATGCAAGAATTTTCAAGCATATTAGTCCTGGAACATGGTGGGAAACACTATGTACTAAACAATCAGACTCCTTGGTTTTCGTATGCCTCAGGTTCCTTCATCTTCTACACCAAATGAAAAGCTGAAGATTTTAAAATACACACATGCTACCAACGAATGAATCAACACGTGAAAACATTGAGAAGTTTGTTCCATTCACTTTCTGAATACCATGAAGCTGAAAATGAAAGTTCAGAACAAACAGCTATGGAACTTGCAGATACAAATTCTGATTAGCAATATATTTATTCAATATTTTCCATGTTACTATTGACAGGGAACAGAATATAAATTAATTTTTAAAGGGGCAACTAATTTACACATTTACACTACACTTGTAGAATGGAAAAAAATGCTTCAGCAGTACAAATTCCATTCTTCCTCCTTTGGTGAATTATAGGAAGATCAAACTTTTTTTTCTAAAAATATAACTTTCTTCCACATCTGCATCTAAAATGTTCTTAAATCAAAATAAACTTAAAACAGAAAGGATGGTTTTATTTCATTCCCATTTTTCAACTGTAAAATTCAAAATACCTTGCATCTTAAAATCAAGCAATCTGCTGCTCCATTTCTCACAATGAGTATATACACATAATTTTTTAGATAAAGCTTTCCTAGGGCTTCCCTTATGACAATTTTTCAGATTGTCTAGGCATCTATAGGGGAGAATGAATGAACCAATTACTCTTGCAACTACAGTCTGTCAAGTACCCTCTAACATTTCAACATATTTCTTATTTTCAAAGCAGAAAAAAGAATATGCTGTATGTATTAATCCCTCAGTGGAAGGAGCTGTATGTGTCCCCTCCTTAAAAACACACAAACTGTTCATACGAGGCAGAAGAAGCTCCTGGGAGTCCCTATTTCTTCCAAGCATCACAGAGAAAGAATCTTAAAGCAGAGAGATCAATATGCTGCTGAGTGATACTTCTACCAGATGGCCAGAGTAGTACTTCTGTCAGCCAATCCAGCTGGACACCTGCACTTATGCAAACTTGGGATAAGCATCTTTAGGGCAATGCCTTGGCTTCTTTTCTGAGGACACTTGTTATTTAAATTTCTTTTGCACAGCTTCCCTTGGCTTGATTAAATGCCATCAGGTCGGTGTTGACTCTGGACAGATTCCCTCCTGAATAATCTGTCTTCAACTTGGCCTTTTAATTTGAACTTTTTCTGAACCTCACTTATCTAAACCTTTGATTACCAGTAGGAGAAAAAAAAAATCAGTATTCTGTGCACTTTTAACTACAAAATTAATCCAATCAATATACTTGAATAGTAATAATGAAAGTCCTAAAATTTCTGTCATGAAGTTTTTTCGCTGGATACTAAAGATGAATAGGACAATAATAGGACAGACCCTTTCTCAAGAAGTCTACTGATTTTCATTATTAGGGCACTTCTTTATGAGCCAATATAAAATGTTGAGATAAAGTTTTCCAACATAAACAGATAGGAAAACAAATTTAAGGTAACATTTTTTTTCAAAAGGAACAGAAAGAAAGAAAAAATATTCACATCTCTCAGAAAATCAAATCAATGAACTAGGCAGCACTGCTTAGAGCAAGAGGGTAAAGTGAAGGAACAAATAAAAACAATACTGGTTTTGATGTTTTAGTGCTGCCTGACCAGCCAAGAAGATATAGATGATCTCTTCCAAAAGCAAATAGTAGATGTTTCAGTGGCATGAAGTAGTAACAATGGAGAACTTTCATTACCTTAACATCTGTGGAAGACAATCTCTCCCAAGCATGGTCCTTCCAGGAAATTCCTGACTTAACCCACTGATCATTTTCTTCTTCAAAGGGTAGAGGAAAGAATAACACTTGACACTAATCAATAAGACTTAGATGAAGAACCAGAAGTATCAGGATTATTATTGGAAAGTGGAATGGAGGGGGTTTTGGCCTGTTTGCAGATATTTTAGAGTTTGTTTTTTTTAATGAGATACAAGCTTTGTCTCTCTTCTGATTATTTAAAATTGTTGCATCTTCCAATTTTTGTGCTTGTGTTTTTTGTGGAATGTCCATGAGGGTTCTCTATGAGACATTGAGGGACAGCTGCAGTTTTTCAGAATACTATCTGTTTCTACTTGTGGCCAAGCATAATTATGACTTCTATAGTGCTTTATGAAGGAAAAAAAATGTAGTTTGGAGGTCAGATTCCCACCACTCATTTTTGCTTGGGAAGGAATAGTATGCAGAAAGAAGATGGATGCCGAGGAGAATGAGGAGTCTGGGAATGAGGGAGAAGCAAAAAGAGGAAAGGTTAACATAAGGTGTTCTATTTTTAAGATGTTGTCTTCTGTTAGATTAACAACAGAATTGGGCAGAGCACAAAAACAAACAAGCCAGGAATCCAGGTTCAGAAAAAATGGTAAATCAAGGTTAAAACAAATCAGGATTCCTAAGCCAACTTCATTCCATTGTTTTAAATTTTCTTTGTTGATAAATAGCCATGATTTTCTGTCTAAGATGGGCTGAGACATTCAAACAATCACAATAAGGCAAGACAAATCCTGGTATAGTATTTTGAGCAAACCAGGTCACAAATCAGAAAACTGTGACTCAGAAATATCCTAAAAATTCTTCTATCAAATTCAACAAATAATTGCCATGTATCTAACGTTTAAAAAACATCAAAATACAGTTGATTGCTTGTCTCTTACATAAAAGCTTATTCTTAAGTTCAATACTTCAAGCATGGCACAGAATTAACAAGTCAATAACTAATGTGTGACTGCTCTTTAGCAGGTAGGTAAGCCAATTATATGCACTAAATGAAATCCAAATGTACATAAAAAGCCTTGCCTAATTCAGCAAGCTTTCATGGATCAATATTTCAGCCCTTCTAATTTAATCTCTTTAAATACATATCTGTTAGCTCAAAATTAGGAAGACAAAAAAAGTTCATAACAAAAATAAAAGAACAATACGGTATCTTAGTTTCTTATTATCAAATGCTTTTAGGTTTTATGACTGGACAACTACTAAAGATATTAAGAATATTTAAACATCAAAAAAAATCAATCAAGCTCCATTTTTACCAATTTTAGTGTTTCTCAAATGCAACAAAATATTGTTTAAAAAGCCAATAACAATGCACATTACTATAAAACATAACATCATCAATGCCATTGCAAGATCACCCGGGAGTCTTTACTCCCAGCCATAGCAACCTTAAAGCAAAAGTAATTTCCTAAGCAAGGGCTTTCAACAGAAGCAGCACATTTTCACCTACTGCTTATTCTAGTGTGGTGATCCCTGTGAGTACTGTATGTTATATAAGCATGCATTAAATTATTCTGTATATTACCTCATGTTTATTACTCCCAGTGACTACAAATAAGTCTAAAACCAAGAGCCTAGAAGAACTTTTAGCTGATTCCAGCTACATCCTGATGTATTAATATTATCATCTGTTTGAACAACAAAAAAAAAAGAATCAGCTTGGAAAAAGTTAGAACAGTGATATCATCAAAATATTCTTCTTGGAACTATAGCAACTAGTTTCTATACTTACTTCTTTTGAAGTAAACTCCACTGAGTTCAGTAGAATTCACTCCTAGAATTGCTTTCCAGGATACTCTTGTTTAGTATTTTGACACCAAATAAACTTTTGATGCAGCAAGACACACAACCGCAGTAATGGAGATAAAGAGGCAAAAAGTTGTAAGCATGAAAGCAATAGTGGGAGCAACAACTATTAACATTATTAAAGGGGGCACATCACTTGGGTAGTGCGGGATGCTGAAGCAGATCCCAGGGTCAGCTCTCACTGGCTACAGCGCTTTCCCTTTGTTCGTGCAAGTCAATGGAACGGTCCCTTCCATCGATCCGCACCAAGCAAGATGAGGGTACAGATCGTCCAAAATAACTTCTGAGAAAGGATGCCTAAACGCGCACCTGTGGCTACCAGCAAGCCACTAATTCTGAACACGATTGCTTCGAATTGTTTAGGACAGATGACTTTCGAAACGGTGCCCCAACCCTGCTTCTGTGATGAGAGCGAGAACTTTTTGCAAACCTCCCGTAAAGACCTTCCAAGTCGGCCAGCTGCGCCTTGTATAAAACCACGCAAAGCCCTAGTCTAGCGGGGGGTTACTGTGTTCTTGCCTGAAGACCTACGGCAGGGCAGTTGTCCGAGAAAAAAAGACCTCCCTTCCAACAAAAGGTCGCCTTCCTTCCCGTCGCGGCTGCAACGAAGACACCGACCCAGGCTGGGCAGCCAGGGAAATCCAACGCGCCCAAGAAACGCCTTCGGGTTTGGAGTGCCACCCCCCACCCCACGAGCGAGAGAGCCGCCCAGGCCATAAAGGGAGCGCGAGCGGAGCGGGCAGCGGCCCAGAGGTTCGCGCGCAGAACGCTGCCTTCCAGCCCTCCCCGAGATGCCCGAGTGCCCCAGGCCAAGCCGGGCCGAGCTTATGTAAAGCGGCGGCACTGAGGGATCCCCGCCAGCAGCAGCATCGCCAGCATGACCGGGGCCTCCAGCCCAGCCCCTCGGTGCGGCCTTCAAGGGCGGGAGGAAGCCATGCCGAGCTGGTCCTCGCAGCGGAGGGGCTTCCGGGTTGGCCTTCTGCCGAAGGACTCTCACCTTGTGGATTCTCTTCAGCGCCATCGCGGCGGAGCCTGTTGAGGGAGGCAAGCAGGAAGAAGGAAAGGAAGGAGGGGGACTATTTTCCGGCGGCGGAGGGAGCGCAGAGGCTTTTCGGCGGAAGCGGGAGGACAGGTGTGAGTGCCGGCCTGGGGGGAACCCGGTGTTCTCTATTGCTTCCTTTCCCGTTGCCCCCGCCTCTTTTGCTCGCCCGTCGCCCTTTCGCTGCCTTTCCCCGCCCGCTCGCTTCTCACCGACGCTCTTCCCCCTTCCTCTTCCCACAGCACGCCCGTGCTCTTTCACTGAGTGACTGCCTCACAGAGCGGGGACTGCTCGGTACGCATCACTCCCCGCGCGAAGTTCTTTATGACGCGATAGGTTAATAGGATTCCTCCGCTATACAGAGTCGAGCGACAAAAGTCACGCATGCGCTTTTGACTGTTGTCCGGCTTGGGGTGCGCGAAGCAGCGCCGTGGTTTTGCACCCGTCGGGAAGCGCGAGATACGCCGCGCGCCCGGGAAGAGCCGGCCCGACAAGCAGCTTCGGCCGCGGACAGATAATTGTCCTGAAAAGAGGAAGAGGGAAGGAGGGCGGAAGGATATTCTTTTCTAGGAGGAGCAAAACGAGAACTCGAGATATTACCGCGAGATTGTGGAAATAACAGGAACTCTGGCTGGTTGGAGCAAGGGGGGGGTGGTTCGCCAGTAGAGCTCCTGGAACTTGCTCCTCTTTCGTGATTTGCACGAATTGACCCGTTAATTGTCTGTCACTTAAGAAAGAAAAGGACGCAGTAGCTCTTTCCAAAGTATTACTGCTGCTGTTGTAATGTATGCATAACCAAAACACAATGCTTTTCTTCTGTTATGCGCCTTGGGTGCACATAAAACATACCCCTTCGGTAAAACAAATATGGGCGAACTAAGATTAATCTTGTTGCACATTTTTCTGGACTCGTTGGAAAAACCAAGATGCTGGGTTTTTTTAAAATCTCAAAATACATAATTATATCTTGGATGAATATATACACTTTTCAGCCCAATACCTAATTCACATTCTATTTAGGTAATCAAGCCACCAGACGTGAGCCTGCCAGATATCTTAATCAAATTACTATACCAAAATTTAGAAGAGCTCTAATGCTTGCAGGTTGCAATGTTTTGTAGACTGCAGGTTTGGAAAGGAGATTCCAGAAAATTCCATACAAGAAGCACTGTTCTTATTGCAAATCGAGCTATTGCAACAACAGCCCATGTGTTTCTGTATTGCCAATCTTACCATGAACTGACACAAACTTATTACACCTTTATTACCACAAGTTTCACATTGCACTAATTCTTTTTACCTTAGTTACCTCTTAGCTGATCAGTCATGTACTGTACTCTCTTCTAATGTTACCAAATTCTGTTTAATAGCTGGCAAGACCTGTCAGGACCTTGCCAGGAACAGCTCAATTTTATAATATTTTTTATTTATCTTAATTTTACTTATTTTACTTTTAACCCTATTTTATCTCATTAATCTTATTTTAGTAATCTATTACATTAGTTTGGTCAATGACTGAAACTTCGACTATGAATATTAAATATAACAAATTCCTGCTGGTTGGGACTTCTCAGAATTGCAATCTCAACATATCTGGTGAGTGCCAAGTTGTGGAATATCAATAAAGAAAGATGTTGCATTATAATGTGTTTTCAGTTTAGTTTGGAAATGAGCACAGATATCAAATATTTTTCAAACTGAAATATAGCAGAGCATACTGAGTACAAGGTGCATGCAAGCTCTCCTCCTGCATTTCCCTTACTGCTAAAAGTGGGCTGCTAACTTGAAATTTATTTATTTATCTATACAATTTAGAGCAGCCCCAACTTCACAGGACTGGGTGGCTTACAACTTTAAAAACAGGAAAACACTAACATAAAAATATAGATTATGTGCATTTGGAAAAAGAAAAATAACAAATTAAAAAAAAATACAGGGGCTTCACACCCAACCTATTCCAAGGCTTGGGAGAAAAGCCAGGTTTTCACCTATTTTCTGAACTTCTTCAGGGTGGGAGCCATACGAATCTCTGAGGGATGCTGTTCCAGAGGGCAAGTGCTGAGACAGAGAAGGCATGCTTCCTAGGTCCCCGTACATGGCACTATTTAATTAAAAGGGCCTGGACAGCATGCACTCTGACTGATCTTACAAGATGGGCAGAAACTATCAAAAATAAGCAGTCTTTCAAATAAGCCCCTATGCCATAGAGGGCTTTGTGGGTGGTAACCAGCACTCTGAATTGTACCTGGAAGCCCGCTGGCAAATAGCAAGACTCACAGAAGAATGGTGTCACATGGCGTACCACGGCATACCCTTTAACTGCCTGTGCAGCCACATTCTGGATCAGCTGTACTTTCCAAGTGATCTTCAAGGGCAGCCCCATGTACAGCACATTGCAGCAGTCTACTTGCAAGGTGACTAAGGTAAAAGTTGAATAAATGAGAGGGATATAAGGGATGTTCATCAAATCTGCAGATAACATAAAGCTGCTGGGGAGGGGGATTTCTAACACCTCAGAAGACAGACTCATGGTTCAAAATGATCTTGATAGATTTGAATATTGGGCCATATGCAACAAATTCAGTTAAATGGCAAGAAATGGCAGGGGATCTAAACTTAGGTAGGAAAATCCAGAGGCACAGGTACAAGATAAGCAGTACCTGGCTCAGCTGTAGTAATTGTGAGAAGGATCTGAACATCCAAATAGACCACAGATTAAGCATGACCTGGTGTCAGCCCTTCAAGGTAGTCCAGACAAGAAACCAAAACCATGAGTACTAACACTACCTTTATTGTAAGCTTACAGCAACAGAATCTTGCAAGTCTGAAAGCACTGCCCCCCTCTTTTCCGGAGAACAAGGGATGGTCCCTTCTGAGATTCTTACTCCACTCCCATTCCTCCTTTGGACTCAGATTTCGTTTATCAGACCATTGTCTAGGCTGCGGCTCTTCCTCCTTCCCTCCCAAGGTTACTCTCACAGCCCATTACATCCAGCAATGTGCTGCAGCTGACAAAAGAACCAGTGCAATCTTGGGCTGTATCAGCAGAGAGATATAATTAACAGGAAGGGATAATTCTACTCTATGCGGTATTGGACCTGTTCTGGCCACCACAGTACAAGAAAGGAACTGGAAAGCATGCAAAGAAGAGAAATAAAGATGGTGAGAGGCTTGGTGGCTAAATCCTATGAAGAATGTTTAAAGGAACTGTGAATTAAACAGGAGAAAACAAAGGGGAGATATAAGTTTTCCAATACTTGAAAGACTGTCACAGGGAAGAATGTGTGGGTTTATTCTCCATGGTGCCCAAAGGTAGGTCAAGAACCAATGAGTGGAGTTTTACAGAGGGAGATCCAAACTTGAAATAAGGAGCAATTCCATGACTCTGAGAGTTCCTAAGCAGTGGAATAGCCTGCTTCCTGCACTTGTAGGTGCTCCAGCACTGCAGGTTTTTAAACAAAGGCTGGACAGCCATCTGCCTGGGATGGTGTGAGGATTCTTGCCTTAGGTAAAACATTGGACTAAAAGACCTCCAAAGTCCTTTCCAACCCTATAAACTCTGGAACAATTCAATTTTTAATGTGCATCAAATTTCATAATGAACGTCAGTGGGATATTGTGCTGATAGGTCATGTGCATGGAATGCCTTTTCATGACATGATATATTAAATATAACCTATATTAAGGACAACTATTGAACTTTGGTGAAAGGGCCTAATATGGTGGGGAGCTGTGTTTTTCTCCATAGCGCTGCAGTAATGATCATGTCGCAAGTCCCCGATCCAAAAGGTTTTTATCTTCATAAGACTTTCTACACACCTCAGTTGTGCTTATTCATGGCAGGCCATTATGATAGTTTTGCTAATGTCCACCATTGCTGCTGCGTTATTTATAGAGTTCTCCACAAGCTCTGCTGTTCCAATTGCTCTTTTTCTTGCCATAGTTTAGAGCAACTTTTCTAATTCTCGCCAAAGACCCTTGTGGCTGGAGAAGATGAGAGACAGCCTGAGGATTCTTACATGGCTTGAAGATGGCACAAGTTTGAGGAAGGCGCTTCTAGTTTTTAAGAACAGGGAAAAAATCTATTGTGCTTTATAAAATGACAGATGTGTATTTCAGAAGGTTTTGTGGTTTATTTATATCTAGTTTTTGCAACTCAACCCAATCCACAAACTCTGGGCAATTTACAACAGAGTAAAACAACAGAAAAAAACTATAAAATTAGTACCTCCCACACCCCCAGATAGTCACTACTAAACAGTCAGCACAAGTTAAAAGCTTACTGTCATCTATCTGACTGTAGCAAAAAAGTAATACAGTACTGTACAAACAGTGGAATTAAAAGGTAACATGATTCTTGTTAAAAGGTAACATGAAATTCTTCCAGTTATGTTTTCAATGTCACTACACTCTTTTCCTTTAAAATAAATTCAGCTTTATTTTCTGATCACACAGTAAATATTTAGAATTTTTCACATACAGTATCCACATCAGCACTATCATGCACACGTAGCAGGCTGGTCTCCAGATAATTTTGAAATCCTTTCTATAAGTAAATGTTCAGGAATGTTCTGCCAGCTGAATGAACAACAAAAAGGGTAATTGCAGACTCTAAAGATATTTTAGCTCTGGGGGATTCTGGAGGGGGAATGGACAGGAGTGCAAAGGTAAGACTTTAAACATTTCTCAGATAATATTCCTTAAACATCATGGCCTTTTGATCATGCTACTTTTTCTTTATACCTATGTGTAGATGGTCATATAACACACATACTTATCATCTATGGAAAACACACTGCATCTGATGAAATTACACGATTTATTTCACCGTATTTGCAACCTACCCCAATCCATAGACTCTGGGGAACCTGTAACAGAATGACAATACAGAATACAAAGCAATAAAAAAGTACAATTAATAGAAATAGAATGCCACCAACACCATTCAATCCTGATTAAAATAGGATGGCAAAATAGCATTGTTTTTACAAAATGCTAGGAGGGAAGTGACTGCTCAAAACTCCCGAGGCCAGGAGTTCCAAAATCCAGTGGCTGCTACAGAAAAGAACTGCTGTCTGCTCTGTATCCCCCACAACTCCAAGCAGGCTTTCTGTCTCTGGACAGGCAGGTTCAGTTATGGTGAGGCAGTGCCTGATGAAATCCCATATATGGCTTTGTAGATCTTCACCAGCACTTTGAATTGAGCCTGGAAGCCTAGCTGGTAGCCAGTAGTGTTACTCTACTATGACAGGATTGTCCCATCATTTTTGACCAGCTGCAGCTTTGGGGCCATCTCCGAAGGCTGCCTCAGGTCGGAGCGGCACCACTGAAGCACCGTGTCCCTGATTCCCAGCCCTTTAGGCAATCCAGCAGGAAACCATTGCCAATGGTATCAAATGCCACTGAGATGTCAAACAGGGCCAAAGCCAGAAAACACTTTTGTTGAATTCTTAAAGAATATTATTTTTCTGCAGATACAGAGAACTTTTTGAAATATCCTTCCATATTAGAGCATGAAG